CCAGACTACCTCTTGTGGCATGACGCGTGCACCTTAAGGGCTGTGCACAATACCTTTCACACTATAATGACGGATTCCCCAATAGGTCTACGAGATCCTACGAATAGATTCGCTGCTTGACTCAAAACATACCAGCCGATCCAGGAGGCCCAAGAGCTTCGCAGTGAAGTACATGAGGCTTGGATGCTGCTGTTCGGAGAAGCATATGTCCTAGCCAGTCCTAGCTGTGGCTGCTGCGGCCGGAATCTTTCCAACAAAAGTCAACGATTGCAGTTCGCTGAGTTTGAGTTTGCAGGGAAAGTGATGTTTGAGAAAGGTCTTCGGAGAGTCTTGCTCTTGAGGCTTGCACGGCAATCGAGGAGAATCGGCAAGAGGCATTTGTGCTGATTGAGCTCAATGGAACATTCTCTTGGTTTGTTCTTTGCTGGATCCTACTCTTTGTGCCTGATAATCTCCCAAGTGCCACTTGGACAATCTTACCGGATGTGAAGCATGGCAATAAGAGAGCGTCATGCTGAAGGTCGATGCTCACTTGTCCTTGCGCATCAGTGAGGCTTGCATTCCAGCTTTGCACATAACACCAGGGAAGCACCAGTCGTCGTCAAACTCTTCAGCATCAAATTCATTGCCCAACAAGTTAGCAGTTAGCATGTCGCCCAAGGGTTGCCCAGGTCTGAAACGACATCCTTTAGTTAAACGAGACTGTGACACAGTCTCGGGTCTGAAAAGGTCTTCAACTAACTAGTCCCAGGAGTTGGTCAGATCCTTGCTGAGGTGCAGCAGAGCCTGCAGGCTGAGTTCAAGGTAGCTGGACTATCTCTGACTCTAGACAAGTGCACTAAGTTAGCAAGGGTCTAAAAGACGGAGATGAATAGAAAGAAGCTGATGGTGCGAAAAAACAAAACAAATCTATACAAATCTTCTTGGGATCTCAATGTCGATTCTTTGTTTTGAGCATGGACTTGACCGGCACGGAATTGCCCCCGAACTGCCGGGACTTCGAGAGCCGGTGCGAGAGAGAAATGGGCCCCCTTATTCGGACCATCACCCTTCTTTTCATCTCCAATTTCAAGACCAATCGTATTTGTTGCTTTGTGTGTGGCCGGTTCTCGTTGAAAGATCCAGGTGGCAGATGCAACCTTGCACACGGAAGTGGCCACTGCTGCAGCAAGCCAAACCTGCGAGGATTACTGAGACCTACAAATTGCACTCAATCTGCTATTATTGTTCCGCCATTCGCCATACTCTGCAATGGTCAACGTTATAAGGACTACAGAGGCCTTTAAGAGCCTTGCTGATGCACGGAGGTTAGGGTGTAAGTCCTCAACCTTTGGATCTGTTGTATGCATGGCATACGCGTTACCATTAGGCGTGCGACCTCTAAGAATGTAAAAAGTAAACAGTAAACTGTGCACATTGATGCAATGCCAGATGATCGTTACAACCTGGGTGTGGAGCTGGAGAGGCTGCGTGGAGAATTAAGCCAGGCACAGGGTCCAGTCAGTTCTTTATATAGATGCGAAACTTGCCCCCAAAAAAACAAGTAAGAGCTCCCTGGTGTTCTTGACCTCAATGACCCAAAATGACCGTAGGGTATTTTTTATTGATTTTATGTACATTTTTTGTGCATGTTCGCTCTGGACAAGCCATTTGGGATAATTTTGGATGTTTTGACTCTCACTTGTATGGGGATTCAAGCTTCGAATTGGTGCATCCCTGGGTTCAGGATGTTCAATTTGCCACCCAGTACCCAGAAGGGTGGCATTGATGAGCGGACAGACCGAATGAGCAAGTGCAGTGACTTGTAAGAAATCCTGGACCCGAGTCCTTGGCATGCAGGTGGAGTTGCTTCGATCTTCCGTGGCACAAGCACAGGACTCTTTCAATTCCAACCCCGCCAACCTTGAGCCTTGAGCCTCATGCTTTGTGCTGTGCTAAGCTAGGCTTGGGCATAGAGTTTCGACCAGTTGTTTCAATCAGACTTTGTCAGCAGGAGCTTTCTAGCCGTTCTGGCTCTCACGAAGTGATTGCAACCCTCCGCATGGAAGCCCATGTTTGAAAGCTTTTGAGGCCAAGCAACTTTAAGGGGCAATTGAGCTGCTTTCTGAGGTGTGGATCAGCTGTTCGGCCAATCACCTTCTGCGTGCGACTACGAGTTCCCACTTGTGGCCAGCAGGCATGCCCAAATGCATTCCGAAAAAAGACAACTGCCTTTGCGTGATATGGCCCGGCTTGTGGGCGTGAGAGCATGAATGCAGAAGTGCCATGATGCCATGTTTGTCGAAGTGTAATTACGGCGGCATGCTGAGGGAAACGAAGCCAGTATGCCACTGACTTCCAGCTGATACACAGATTGAAAACCTTCGATTGAACCCTTGAGGTTAATGCGTGGGATGCAAGTAAAATCAAATAAAGCAATGGCTGGCGCGAATGCCGGCAGGAAAAGCAAAGCTTCCCCAAGATGTAAGTGTTCCACATGTGCTTTTCTTCAAAAAGGGAGCCCTGCGGATGGATCTCCAGCCGGAGATGATGGTGCTTCAAGATTTGGGAGGTCATCAATGGGAGCACAACAAGGAAGCTTACAATGGGCATTCAAGGCCACATGGAATAATCATCAGCCGAGCACCCTGATAAACGGAGTGCAAAAGAACGCACAACACAAGCATAAAAGGCGCATAGAAACGGTTCATCCATTCATGCTTACATGTGATAGCCACTGCGACCGAACTGCGCACTCATAGAATCATAGAAACTGGACATATGAATACAAATTTACTCGTAAAGATCAGACTGTTAGACACCTTGCTGCATCAATAAGTGATATAAGTGATCATAAGTGATTATATCATTATATCATATTAATTCATATTATATCAATATGTTCTCTCTGGAGTACAATTGTTAGGCTGGGAACTTCCACTGAATCCCGCATGTTGGTTCACAAAGCCAATTGTTTTTCAGGTGCTTGGTGCGCTTGAAGCCAAACCGGAAGGCCACATATAAAATACAAAGCAAGACACTTGAAATGTATTGAAATGTTACGTTTGGAAAGTGTATCGAGTTAGAAAGAAAGAATTGGCTTGTTCGAGTTTGTTTGATTCGGCAGCTTGGATGGCTCAAGTACCCCAGAGTGTCTAAGAATGGCACTAGTAAAGGCTGAAGCACCTTGACAGATCTTAAGGTTGAGTCAGGGTGTGCCTTTTGGCCAAGCAAGTCTCTTTTGAGGGAGGAGGTCGGTCAAATCAACCAGCCATTGCCCATTTGTTGTGAGGAATCACGCCGAGAATGTGAGCGGCCACAAGTTGCATTTGCGCTGGAGCTATCATCATACGCTGAGATCTTCCAGGAGCAGGGGTGCACCTATTGCATATATAAATAAATATATACGTATTATTGTAGAGCTTCGCAAACCGGCGATGCCATAAGGGTTGTTGTCGCTGTCCCTGTTGTTGTTGTTGTTGCTGTTGTTGGTCAATGGTCTTGTTGCCTTGTGCGCACGCACCAAGAAGATGCCCTTTACAGCATGTTTTTGGCACGCAAACTCTGCAAAAAACACGGTAGTTACTGTTGCTTAATGGCTAAAAACACCGTAAATTAATATCAATGTGTTTGACCCTCGGCAAGCAAAAACCGGTGTATTTACAACCTTGTTTGCCGTGGGATGCAAAGGTTTTTACAATGTTTCTTGTATGTTAAGTTAGCTGCCGAAAACGTCGATATAGACGCGGTTTTGAGTACGAAAGCCAGCCGATAGGCTAGGCTGAAGTTAGTTTACGTGAGCAAAGCATTCTGTTCACATGTGTTTTGACAAGTTTCATGCTTGACCGGGAGAGTCAGACCCATCATGTTAGGCTTGTCGCATGTTCACTTTTCATGGCGCTATGAACTTCAGGAGGCTGAGCCTTACTTGCTGGACCTTTTTGCTGCCGCTTGCTGGGATGCAAGCGAGACTCCAACGGTTGAGGGGGCAAGGCAATTCTGGGCGCATCTTGGCTGGCAGATTTGTTGATGCACAATGCTCATGGCTCACGACTACAGACTACAATTAATACCTTGCCTCAATGAACGACTTCAAACTGCCGGCTTTTCATTGCAGCCATTTTGCCTCAGCTTTTTGTATTCAAGTGGTGATCACATCATCCGGCCATGGCTCGCTCCGGTTCCACGGTGGCACCTTTGTTGGTGGTGGCTGCGTTTGCGTACGTCCTGAACTTCAGCCTCAGTGCTTCATTTGTGGCACCACCACGCGCAGCTGAAATGGCCTTGCAGCAGCAGCAACAAGCTGCCGTGCTGAGTGCTACTTTGGCAGCTGTGACAGCTCCCGCTCCTGCCTTCGCTGCCCGGGTTGAGGAGGATGACGAGGGCTTTGATTTGCGGATCTTGGCAGTTCTGGCGCTCCCACTCTTCGCCGTGTCCTGGGCTCTCTTCAACGTATGGCGAGTTGCATTTCGTCAGGTGGTGCGAATCGGTGAGAGTGAGAAGGGCAACCCCCTTTGAGCCCTCAGGATCCCTCAGGTGTGCTTCATCACCAGCTTTTTGCAGTGGCCAGCCATCATGGCGTGCAGCAATTGGCATCGATGACCAGGTGCTGGACACGCCGTTTTCCTAATAGCAGTGACGCTGGCACAATCTAGATTGCCCGGGCTTCGGAAGAACTTTACGCTTGAGGCACCCAGATCAAAAAGAGAGAGTGGTCCGTGTCTGTGTTGCTGGGCCGCTGTGTGCTTTGTGAGCTGAATAAGCAAAGCCATCCACAACTGAAAACTGCAGCCGAGGCATGTCAGGGTGCTTTGGCCAGCAATCAGTGATGGAAGATGTCCTCACTCGCACAACCTTTTCGACTCCGAGGCACAGAACCCACCACCACTTCCAGCACCTACTCCTGCTGTGCCTAGCACAGCCCCAGAGCAAAGCGTTCGACCTCCTTCAGCTCAGCGGCCACCAGGCCGAGCCCAAGGGTTACGGTGTTCACGAGCACCACACAACGCCAGGTACTCGGCCCTCAACAGCATCCGTCAGACCGAGCACTCCACGGCCAGGGCCTCAATTATGCAACCAAGTTAGTTTGACACACTAGAAGCAGACCAAGGCAGAAGTTGTGGACAGCAGAGGAGCGTTTTGTAATGTTTTGTATTATTGTTTTGGCCTGAAGTTTGTAGGGTCAACAAAGAAATGCGATCTTCAGAATGTGTTGGAGTTATGACTGGCTTTCACTGCAGCATGTGCCACATCATGATGAACATGCACCTTTTATATTATAATATATCTTTTTATCGCCTCTTCAATCAATCCATGCTATTCAGCCACTCCTTCGAGCCAATGCCGGCAACATGTAGTGTGCATATACAGAGAGAGAGAGAGAGAGATTGCTTTCTCGCAAACCAACTTTACAGGACCGACTGTCATTCCGTTGCCTTCGCTTCGGCTCTGCTGCTGCGTCCTGCCTGGCATTGCTTCATGGCCACGAATAGCATCGTCATGCATTTTCCGTTGGGGCATAGTTTTGACTTACCATGTCCTTGCAGGCTGCTGCATTCTAGATCTAAATTAGCGTGCTTTCAGAAGTGGATCTAACTATGTTCACCACTTTGCATGTTTGGAAGATCATTGTTTTGACCTACTGACTTGACTGCGCACATTCTCTAGCCATGTGCATGGCAGTGAAAATGGTGCAGCTACTTTGAAAGAGTTAGTTCACCTTAATTTTTGGCACGTCAGTGTGGCGTAGGGCTATGATTGAGTGTCCTGGCCACTGGGCTCACCCACCAAAGAAAAACCTTGCTTAAGGCAGCTGAAAGGAAGGAATTTCACAAGATTGGATCTGAGCCGCTTGGACGTCAGAGCTGGGGTTTAACTTCAGTACTTGACGAACATGGCCTGATTGTCATTGCAAAGCCAACTTGCTTCCAATTTGTGCCATTTGATTGCACAGGCGAGCACAGAAGTCATGCTCCTTATCGTCCCTTCTAGTCCATTGAGTGCAGGTGAAAATCAACTGGGCGACAATGCAGCTGCTGCGATCGCAAGCCTGATCCATGGTTTGCCAAAGCTGCGAAGCCTCATGCTAGCCGGAAACATCCTTGGCACTCCGGCGACGTAAAGCTCAGAGCCATCCAATTGTTGGATGAACCAATTCGGTTCTCCCCAAAGAAACTAGGGGCAAAAAACCGTGCTGAGGAGCTATATCAGCTTTTACGTACCTGTGGGAGCCAAAACACAGTCAGACAAACTCTAGGAAAACGGCAACAAACTGCAGAGATTGAACAGGGGGAAGAGCTGTGTGCACATGTGTGCACCGTGCTTTCTTAAACTCAGCAAGCCAGCATAAACCAGCAAGCAAGGCAGCCAGCCAGTGCACTTGAGCAAGTAGCAAACAGACCTTGTAGATTCTTCGTTTGCGCGGCGTAGCTTTGTAGATGTGACTAATTTGTATGCCTTGGCATGGTAGCGGTCCGTAGCGGTGCGCGTAACTTCAACTTGGCATGCGGGTGCTTGTATGCTTGCAGTGCACTTCACACATGTTTGCGGACCCTTACTTCAAAAGCCCCAATACCAAAACCATGGCAAGTATGATAATAACACAATGTTACGAAAGTTCATACCATGCCCTATACACATGTAGGCACACCGCACCAGAAGTCCAAAGTGAAGCTACAAGAAGTTGTAGAAAGTGCCGGAGACAATTTAATACGGTACTGTACCATCAAATGTTGAAGTCGTGGATAGTCGTGGCAATGTTCTATGTTTAGATTTATGGTAGTCGTGGCGATGTCGCGTTTGGTTGGGGAGAACACAAGGCAACAGTGGCAAACAAAACGCCGATCAAGCAAAGCGCCAATCGCACAGGCAAACAAGTGGAGAGGCAGGTGGGGAAACAAGTAAGGAGACAAGGCAGCAGCGGCAGACAAAATGCCGATGACAGCAGACATGCGGGGAGACGAGATGGAAGGAAAGAAAGAAAGACAGAATGAAAGTGGTGTGCGCATATAACTGATGAGGTAACTAGAGGCTTTCATTCTGAGGGCTTTCCTTGCTGGCACGGGCTCTGACCTCGTTCACCCTCGTTCCGACACTTTGCAACTTGTGTGACTTGACTTAAGTAAAGTCTCCAGAGCCTGGTCCAAAAAGATGCCAAGGGACCACAAGGAGATGAACATCATTGCTGAATCATTGCGCTTCTATGCCAGAAGCTTGTTGTGAACACATGAGAACACATTCAAAATGCATTGCCAAACCATTGTTATTCTTAAGAGATGGAGTCCAGCCAACCGCTGAGGGTGGCAAAAGATTTTTAAAGTGATTTCGGAGTAGGAGTTGGAGCAAACGAAAAGCAATCTCAGAGGGACAAGTCAAAAAAAATAGAGAGCGGAAAGGTGAGCAGAAAGCGATCCAAAGGTGATGTGATTGAAATATTTGGATACCAAAAGCCAGAAAAAACAAAAACAACGTGACCAAATTGTGATCAAAAAACAATCCAGAATCGAAACCTAATATACAAACGTCACGTGTCGTTTCGGGAGGCGTTTCACAATATGTCAGTCTATTTTCTTGCTGTTTTCTTGCCATTTGCTCACTATTTTCCCGTCCATGTTTTGCTTTCCTATGTCTCCGCAATCACTTTTTGATTGTTTTTTCACATGTTGCACGAACACCCCAACCTATGTTCACTATTTTCTTGCTGAGTTCCTTACTCAGGACCTCACAAAAAAAGGAAAAATCTACATTTCCAGTGGTTGCCTGTCGTCGCAACTCTTAATGTTATTCCATGCGGGAAGCTGGTTTTTGCAAGTGCATAGGTGTTTTTCAAGTTTGAAACGCGATGAGTTTCTTTGAGCCAACTTACTAATTACAACTAGGGGATTCTTTCACCAAGACGGGAAGGACACTGCCGCAGACATGCAACAGTTATCCCCCATGATATTCGGCCTAGAGAATGGGGCACGTTAACGTACATAGAAAACAGCCATTCTTTAGTCTCAACCAGGTGGACTCACCGAGAAGGGGTCAGGAGCTTCATTTTCTAGTGACCTGTAGGTCACTAGAAGTTGAGGATCACAGGTCTCATAGGCATGCTGGCAGGGTCATTTTCTAGACATCACCTTGTTTTCTTGATCCCACCGTCATCCTCATTTTCTAGTGGGGTTCCTCATTTTCTAGTAAACATGATGAATCATGATGATTCAAGACAGAGTTTAAGAGAAACATAACCAAAAGAAACAATATAAATTCCAACGTGCAACGCTCCTCTTCTTCCTCTCCTCAGCTTCCTGCCCTCGCATTGCTCCTTGCCTGTTCATCCTCTTCAGGATTGCGGCAACTTCTGCAAGGAACTGGCTAAAGAACTTCGTTGTGTCAATCTCAGTGTGTGTTGTTGGATGTCCCAACGTCTCCCACTACACCCAAACAAATCCTCAAACACTGCCATACCGAGGGCCATACCCTACCATTCCATTTCTGGCACCCTGGCTAGAAATGGAAAGGTAGGGTATCCAGCCAGACCAACTCACTAGAAAATGATAAGTTCCACGTCTTTAGGGTGCGTTCACCATTTTCTAGTGGCTTTGGTGTCTCGACCAGCACCTGGTACACCCAAATCCTCAAACACGGCCATACCCTACCAGTCCATTTTGGGCACTCTGGCCTGAAATGGAAAGGTAGGGTATCCAGCCAGAACAATTCACTAGAAAATGATGGATCCTA